GGGTGCAGTGTCACTGGCCCTCGTATGTGGGATTGGAACTAGGACCCCGCTGCTCAGAGCGGGCGTCCCAAGCCAACTCTTAACCAACGCACCACTCAGCCGGCCCTGTGAACCAATTCTTGAAACGTGTGTCTGCAATTTAAGAATTGTATTTCTTTGGGAAATGCAGCATTCCTGAAAGCCCTGCTAAGGAGCAGTGCGTGTTCCTGTGTTCTGAGTCTTAGAGGGAGCTGGCAGTGTGCCTCCCTGCTGTTCTTCCTCTAGGACCAGAGGGTGAGTAGAAAGGAGCAGGCCCTCCTGTGACAGATGTGGCAGCGAAACCAAGCCCAGGGGCTTCACTGGTGGTTCTCCTCCAGCCTCTGCGAGCCACCTCCTGGCCTGAGTCCCCAGTACTAGTTAGATTGTGGGGGTGGGGGGTATTAGAGGTTGTTTCATTCATTTTTATGCTGCTTAAATACTTGCCTGTCCCTTGTCCATAATTCTCTTTCCCGGAGACGTTTTATAAACAAAGGTATTTCAGAACTCACTTTAGAAAATATTTTTTTCTTACCTGAAATATAAGGAGTTGAATTAATTAATGCACGAGCAACTAATAATTAGCTGAGTTTAGAATATTAGAGAATGAAACTGCCGGCGACTTACCGTTTAATCATCCGTGTAAGCGGTTGGCAGTTGCTTCCAGGTCTTCGTGGTGAAGGCAAAGCGAGCGGTGCATCTTATGAACTAGTATAGCTGCCCGACTCTGGGAAATCTTGCTTTATAATCAGAACATTGAACGTGAGGATCCAGCCCCAGAATGGCATTTATTCTCATGGGTGGGAGACTTGTTACGCCCCGGCTGAGCAGGTCTGCAGTGAAGACTGCTTTACCACTGAGTCAACCGAAGTGAAAGAAGCCGTTTTGCCCAGCAGCTATGCGCCAGCAGCATCTGCCCTGAATTGCCAGGCTTCACAGTCCTCAGGCTGGGTCGTTCCAGAATTGTTATCTCGGGGTCACCTCATGTGAGGGGGTCTGTGTCAGACTTCCATGAGGACCAGTTAGCGAATGGAGGTCTTATTTTAGGCTAAGACTACATCACCCGCCACTACCATTCTCCCCCTCCATGGTGCTACTGTATTTACTTGTTAGAAGTCACCATCAAAGCCAGGTGCATGTATCCCACAGCTTGAAAAATGGGTCAGATTCCAGGTAGTCAACTTAAAGTACATCTGCAGAATGAGCGTTTTCTTTCCGTTTTTCAGGCTCTCTGGACACTAGCGTGTATATACCTCTAGTTCCTTTCGCCATTTCATCCATCGTAGAGAAAAGGGAGCACTGACATCTGAAATGGCTGAGTGGAAGTAACGTGCAAGTTCATTACTGTGAAGCAGTGTTTTTAGATGTTCAGGTACAAATCGTTCTCAGCGGTGCTCAGTATCGCAACAGGCATCTAGCAGCTTATTTAATTCATGTGAGTTTTAGCAACTGCCTTTGAAGGCAGGCATTTTCAGGCTTTAAAAAAATGCCAGGGTAGGGAAATTTTGTAATATTAATTTGCCTTCTGAGAGAATGACACTGTTTGGAGTAACTCTCGGGCAATTCTAATTTGAAACCACTGGGAGCCTTCAAAAAAGAAAAACCTGGGTGTGATAGGGTTTGTGATGTTACTGCGGACATTGTGATTAACTGTCAGTGCTCTCAGTTGCTAAATTCAACGTCTAGCCCATCTGGTATTGCTGACATTTTTAGAAGACTGTGTTAGTTATGTGATTAGTGTTTTATTTCGATTCACCGACCAACCATAGACAGTCGCTCTTCTGTGATTTCCAAGCTGCTCAGACAGGCAGGTGGCTTTTGTTTCCACACTAGTAGTGAAGTAGCACTGATCAATTTTCTTCAACATTAGCCCTTTTTAATAGTAATACTGTGATAAGATATCTTTGGGGCATTTGGTTTATTATAATTGTACTGTAGGGTTTTATAACAGCAGCAGAACTCTTCTGTTCTTGGATACACACATCTTACCGGAGACCTCTGTGTTTCCAACTCAGGTCCCTTGTCTGCTGGATGTTAATGATCAAAGTTGGGCGAGTTGTCTAATATCCTGACATGGAAAGCGCTTCACCTGGAGCTTAGGAGCTTGCCGAAGCTTCTTTATATTCCAGCTTCTTTCCCACCTGCTAACTTGTCCATCTCCTTTCTATTTTATGAAAAATTCATTGTAGATTACATGATCACATTATAGAAAACTTAGAAAATAGAGAAAAAGCTATTGCTATAATTTTGCACGATTTTCTTCATCTTTTTTTCTATGTATATATTTTAACAGCTCTGTGTGCATGTACCTGTGTGTTTTAAGTCTGTATTGCTTGTGAGCGACAGAAACCTAGTTCCAACAAGTTTGAGCAAAAAGGGGAATTTATTGTAAGGATGGGGTATCTCTGAGCCAAGGACAGGAACTTGGCAAGGCCTGAGGAACAGTGGAAGGCAGGCCACGCTCTCCCTCCCAGTCTTTCAGCCGTGGGTTTTGTTTGTTTGTTTGTTTGTTTGTTTGTTCCCGTCTTCTTTCTCCATTTCTGCCTGTCTTTCGCTCTCGCATCCAGTTGTTCTCCACATGGAGGAAAACGTATTTACAGAAACCTCCCAAGTTTAATTTCTTATCACTTCACCCATCCAGAGAGTTCAACTTAACTCTTGTGTGATCCCAAGACCTATTGTACAAAATAGTGGTTCCTGGGGTAATGATTTGATAGGTGGAGGGGGGCTCAGCAGGGATTTCCACCTCTTGGCTCCAGGTATGCATCCATCTTTCTTTGCTATTTTATTCAGTCCCCAAACTGCCCCTACCTAACATAATCCTGCCATCTCACATTCAAGCTGCAAACCCACCCCTCTTCTCAATAGGTAGGCAGCCCTAAGTCTTGTTTAGCTGCAGCCCCAGTGGTCTTGTCACAGGGCCACTGTTCTCCAGGCCAGGCGCTCTGGGCAATGCGCTGTTCTCTAGTTCAGGTGTGACAAGGTCCAGAAGAGGCTTGTTACCATCTCTACCCTGTGCGCTAAAATAATTTTAACAGTTGGTGTACATAACCTCTGGACTCCCAGCTAGGGCAGGCACCACCCTTGAGGCTTCTATTTTCCTAGCCAGGTCTAAATAAGACTGATTTCTTAGTTCCAAAGATGGAATTAAGAGCAGACTCTTCCTCCTCAAGTTTAAGGCTTTACCCAGAGAATAGACTCAGCAGGCAGTGATAAAGCTTGCTATTGTTTCCCCCATTCCAGGTGAGTGGGCCGTGGCCCTAGGCAAAGTAAAGGGGGGACCTTCTCCCCCTTACAGGCCAGGCACAGGCAAGAAGAGATGAGATGAGTCAGGTTCTGACCGATGCTTCACCCCCTCTTGCCAGTTGGTCTCCACCATGGAAAAGGAATGCAGGCACTGAAATGTTTGTCCAGCCCTGGAGATAACCACTGGGCTTTTCCTTTTAAGGGGTTAACTAGGTGTCATCCCGGCTTTTCCCAGGAGTGACCAGGTATTTGGCGGTCAGGCTGCCATGCACAAGTAACCCCCCAATCCTTTAGGTTTGGTGCTAAAAGCCAACCATGTTTTTAATATAGCATTTGTGCCAAAATTCAAGCTGTCTCAGTATAAGCAAGTTGGACTGTTTTTAATTCAACACCAAAGGGACCATTTAATTTGCGGGACAGTATAGTGACAAAGGAAAAGAAAATCTCATTACAAGGTAGCATTGCTGAATGTGCCCATACCTCAAAACATGGTCCTAGGAAACCTTACCAGTTATTACCTGCACATATGTGCAGTGCATGCATACACACACACACACACACACACACACAGATGTGTGTGCGTGCACACACAGTTGCTCCTATGGAAACCATGTAGATGAGGTTCAGTTCCTAGCAAAGCTAAAGGACAGGTAGACAAAAAAAAAAATTCTATCCAGAATAATTATAAACAGTGTACATTAGATTTTAGATTCTGTATTTTTCACGTGATAATGTATATAAGCATTTTCCTCTGTTGTAGATTTTTTCCATGTGCTATTTTGTTGATTATATAATATTCCACTGAGTGTATGTGCCATAATTTATTTCACCCATTTAGATATTGGAAATTTGGATCTCTCTAGTTATTTGTGTTTATAAGTGGGATGTAATGAATATCATTGTGCACAGAACTTTTTTATCATATCTGGAGTTATTTACTTAGGATATAGAAGTAGAATTACAGAATTAAAATTTTGAACACTTTAATGCTTTCCAGAAAGACTACATTAAACTTATAATTTTCATTGCCACCAGCAATGGGTAAGAAAGCGAATTTCACTATCTTTGGCTATTTTTTTAAAACAAAAGATATGTTTTTAATTCATTGAACATAAAAGGTACATCTTTATTTAAACTGTAGTTTGATTATGAGGAGCAATTTGGATTCTGTGTTTTATGCATTTTCTTTTATAACATGTCTCTTTTGAAATCTTGGTGTTTAATTATCATATATACTCTTTATATAATGAGAGCTTTTTCTTCTATTTTGCTTTAAACATTGTCCCCTAATTCTTCGCCTTTTAAAATTTCCTAAGTGCGCAGGGGTGTGTGTGGCTATGTTGGCATTCCGCTCTATCATGGAGTCTTGCAAGATGACTAGGTTTTAGAAAGTGAAATATAACTAAGAGAAGGCAGTCGGTCAGTGTCCTTTCTCCCTCTGTTTCAGTGGAAGCTGTCTGTGGATTATTTCTAAATCCCCATCATTGTCATGTTAGGTCATAAACCTGTCTGTCTGCAGGAAAGATGGCCACCTAGATAGAATAAGGTAACCTGCGTTCTAGTCCTGACTCAGCTGTTGTCTAGACACGTGCCCTTGATGGGAATTTAGGCTCTCCAGTCTGAGTTTCTTCACCTGTAAGATGGTTAGAAACTTTGGGGAGGAGGGGTGTTCTGTGGTCATACATGCCCACGGTGACGAATCATGTTGACCATGAAGATTCTTCTCCATCTCGTTGCAGATTTTTGGAAGTCCCAGCACAGTGACACTTCCTGAAACCTTGTTGTTTGTGTCAACCCTGGATGGAAGTTTGCATGCTGTCAGCAAGAGGACAGGCTCGATCAAATGGACTTTAAAAGAAGGTAATTTGGATTTGGTCCGTGGGTGATGTGGTCACTTGCTCAGCTGCTTCTGAAGAAATGTATTCCAGAAAAAGAGAAAAAACAGTTACATGTTATTTAATAAAATAAAAAAGGATAATGGAGTCAAGGAAAGAGAATTATATTCAAAGGGATATGTTTACACCTTGAATTGTGATCATCTACGAAGTGCATCAGTCGAAGTGGCATGCTTTATCTTTTTTTTTTTTTTTTTCCTGACCAGGTTTCATGTTTAAATGGCTCTCGGCTTTTCTATTAATAGTTCTGGCTTGGTCTTTATAAAGACGTGCTGCATTGAATTTTTTTTGTTAAGTTCTAATGATTAGAATCTTGTAATCATAATTACAAGAAGGTATGTTCTCTAACCGCAAAAGCCTCATTTGTTTTTATAGAAGCTGGAATAATTGAGGGCTGTAAGATTTGACATTCATCCAAGTTAGCTACTTTATTGGTTCTTTACATTAAGGGAAGCAAAAGACCGAGCTTGTTTCTCATTTAGCAATCTCCCGCGTTTCCATTTTATGATCTTGTCTTCCTGGTGATAGTTAGAATGCAGTCCTACAGCTGGGAACTTGTATTCGATTTCCAAAGTAATCTTTCTGAGTAAAGCCATGCAAATCCCAGGAATTACGTCTTTCAGTGTCATCCTTATTATTCTGTCGAGTAATAATTCTCATTTGGCTGTAGATTGGGGTCTGACCGGCGTTTTCTCTTTCGTCACTAATCTGTGACTCATTATTTTCATGAGCACAGCAAGTGTTTTTCTTTCCTTAATAAAATGTTCCAAAATAGTATTTCAGATGGAAAAATATGGGCATGTGTCAGAACGTCACACATCATCTTGTCAATACAGCAGCAAACCTAGTTACCATCCATAGATGATGGCAGCTCGGGCACCATAGACCACCCTGCCTCACCAGTCTGGGCCCTGCTTGGATCAGTAAGAACTTTGAGCAGCTGAAAGAACCAGCTCTCAGGAGTGAGTGACCACAAGAAGACTGCAGAGCTGCGTTTAGGCATCGCGTTCCAGGCTCCCAGAATGCCATCTGTACTGTCTCTCCTTCATGTTTAAGCCTTGTAATGATTTTAAAACAAAAGCAGCGTTATTTTAATGTCATAATTTCTGATTTCATCCAAAGATAGAAATTAACAAGTCACACAAGGATTCTGATTAATATTTTCACTGTTCAGTGTTAGGGCAGGTCCCTCAGTTTCAGTATTTCCAAGGCAGAAACTTTTGCCCAAGCCACTTCATTCTTCTGCTTTGCTTTTCCCTCCATGTAGTATTTTAAATTGATCTTCTCCAAGCCTTAATTTCAACAAGTAGCCTCGCCGTATCCGGCAAAACTGTGTCCTGCCTTGTTTGGTGCTTAGCCGAACATAGAATCAATCTGTTCTCTCTCATAACTTAGAATTTAAAGAATTTGCCTCTTTTACTTCATTAAACGTGTGTTTACGGAATTTAGTCTGTGAAAGATACTGTATGGGGCACAAAAAAGGAAAAGACGGCCCTTGCCCTCAAGGATACCATAGTCTGGCGGGAAGAAATGACAAGTGCACAGAACTTCCACACAAGGCAGTGTTGTAACCGCCTCAGAGAGGCACTAGGAACTGCTGGGGGGGGGGGGGTTAGCAGGAAAGGCTTCATGAAGCTGGGGTGTTGGAGCTGAGCCTTGGTAGGTGGATTGGATTTCAGTCGGGAGGATGAGACCTGGAAAGGAGCAAAGGAGACAGCAGGGAGGAGCTAAAAAACACTTAAAGGAATAATTAGAGAAACACCCATTAAGGGCTAAAAATTTCAAGTAATACTCAACATGTTCTAAGTCTCTTTTTTCTGAGAATAAACTGGCTTATTTTCGTAAAATTCAGCTCTGGATACCAGTAGCCTCAATATATATTTCTATATAAAGACTACAGATGGTAATGTATGGAGACCCTGAGTTTTCAGTTCAGTTTTAATCTTGAAATTATAACTAAAGATTTCAAAATTGGTATTTCTAAACCACGAATATGTCAATGGCTTATGAAGGTATCCAGATACTCTTCTAGGCCCTGAGGATACAACAAGTGAAGGAAACAGACAAAATCCTTCCCCTCATAGAAGCTTTTATTCTAATGGAGAAACTGGTAAGGAAGTACATTACACAGTGGTGATAAGAGCTATGGGGAAAAATTAAGCAGGGAAGTGGGATAGGGACTGCCAGGTTGCAGGGGTCGGGGTGGGTGGGGCTGCAAATTTAAACAGGCACTGCCCCACAAGGCTTCATCTGGGTAAGAACTCAAGGAAGGAAGGAAGTCTTTAGGCCGAAGGCATAGCAGGGGCAAAGGCAGTGTGTGCTCAGCACGGCCAAAGAGCACAGACGTCGGAGAGGAGTAAGTAGGGGAGGAAGGAGAATAGTAAGAGACGAGCTCAGAGGGCCAGTCATGCAGGGGTGCAGCACTCCCTTTACATAATATTTATTATAAAATTGCCCCCACTACTGTCCCGAAATGAGATTTATAGACATACACACACAGTTTTAAGGAGAAATAAATGTATTACCCAATTAGTAACCTGAAAGTAATTTTTAATCACGTATATGTCATTTGACATGCAAATGCTCAGGCACATACTGATCTATATGGACACTGATCTATACGGAGTGAATGCGGTGCCTGTTAATACAGACGGATAAAAATGCAAACTCGGACGCCTGATACCTACAGTGACCGGGTTTCCAAGATGGTGAGCATTTCTTGATACCGTTCCAAACAAAAGTCCAGCCTTACCTGACTTAGACAGTAGCCCCATTCTGAGAAGATTCAGTGCATAAAATTATGCAAAAAGTGCTTTTGTGCTTTTAGGTGAAGCATGTAGGTTGGAGGCTCGGATAAACATGAAAGGTTTTGGCCCCTGTGAGTGCCTGGCAGAACCTCAGAGCAGCCTGCAGAGACAGGGCAGTCTTTGGCTGTGCTGGGCCACCTAGTGTTCCTGGTCCCCCGATACTTAGTGCCTATATCACTCCCCACCCAGACCCTGTGAGCACCAGGAAATGCCCTCAGACTTCCTGAGTACTTCCCAGCGAGCTGTGCCCTCCAACCCGCCATGGAGACCACTGGTATAGCAGCTGGTGGCTGGTGTGAGGACATTGGCTTTTTGGAAGCCATTGGAGGTTTCTGAACAAAGGACTGACACGCCCTGGTATTATGGACTGATGTTTGTGTCACTGCCAAAATCCATGTGTTGAAGCTTTCTCCCGCAATGTGATGGTATTTGGATGTGGAGCCTTGGGGAGGTGATTCAGGTCATGAGGGAAGGACCCTGTGATAGGATTAGGGTCTCTATGAGAAGAAAAAGAGACCAGAGCGCTTGTGCTCTCCACCATGTGAGGACACAGTGAGAAGGAGGCCCTCTGCAAGCCAGGGACAGGGCTCTCACTAGACCCCAACCATATTGACACCTGACCTTCGACCTCTAGTCTCCAGAACTGTGTAAAATAAATACTTGTTGTTTAAGACACCCAGGCTATGGTAGTTTGTTATGGCAGCCCAAGCTGACTGAGACGCCTGGCCTCCACTTGACAGAATCAGCAAGTGCTGTGTTGAGACCAAGCTAATGGGGCCAGGAGGAAGCTACTGCACCAGTCCAGGCAAGGGAGACGGTGGGCTTGGGCCCGAGTGGCAGCAGGGAGTCAGTGAAATGGAAGAAATGTGCCGATGCAAACAGATACCTTTAATTCATTACACTGGGGTTCTGTAGAATATATACTTTTTATTCCATCTCATGGTTTCCTAACTGTTTACTTGTTTCAGGGGCCAAAAACCAGGGAGCTTTTTTTTCTTTCTTTCTTTCCGCAGGGTGGTTTTGGCAGGTGCTTTTGTTCCTCACCCAAACATGTGTTGCAGTTCCCAGAAACAGAGATTTCTTACACCATCGTGGCAAACTGCACCTAGTACAGAAAATGAGTTTTATTTGTTTTCAGAAACTAATTTGAGCTCTGGCATTTTATGTTAGGTGTGATCTTTTTAAGCTGTGATTTTGTAACTGTAGCTACACCACTGTCTGTCTTTCTCTGAAATTTCACGAGTGAAGATGGCTGAGTATGTTTTATTTCTGCACTTCCAGCCCGAATGCAAACTGAGAATGTTGCTGTCAGGCTTTATGTCAAATCAATTTTTTAAAGCTTGCTTTGGCTTGCTGGGGTTTTAAGGACTGTCTCTGGTATTGCCAGGACTGGTTTAGGGCTTGGTGCACTCAACTTACAATGCTAGTTAATGCTGACTTTTGACACTCAAATCTTCATCAAATTGCAGGTTACTCTTTAGCAACCTTACTCCCACCCCCTTCCATGGCACAGAGGACTGGGTCTAATTTAGAACCGTTCTATACTAATCATAAAAACATGCTAACTGTGCAAGATGGCCACTTTCCCAGCCAGATGGGCCCAGGATCCTGAGATGTCCCTTGAATGGTTGATATTAGAGAGAGATATCTTATGAGGGAAGGATCAGAAAAAGATTTGTTATTTGAAATTGGAAGAAAAGCTTCTTTCCATATGAGTTTCCCTTTCTTATCATGTGCCTCTTCCCATAGTTCCTCCCGGTGCTGGCAATGGCCCACCCACTTTGGAAAATCAAGTGATTGATGCTCTGCTACTGGGTCACCAAGTCCTGGCATGTAGACTGAAGAAGTGTCTCCCAAATCTGACTCCTTCTCCCTGTCCCCCTGGTCAGCACCTTAGCCAGGCTCTCGACATCATTTCCCAGATTAATGCAATAGCTCCCTGACTGCCATCCGTCTCTGCTGCCTGTCTTACCCTCTCATTCACCCACCACGCTGCTGTCAGGCATGCCCTCTGAAAAGACCAATTGGACCGTGCTGCACCCCTGCTCAAATACTCTTGGTGTTGTCTAGAGCCATGCTACTCCAAGTGTGGTCTGCCCACCTGTGTTACCTGTCCATGAGGAGAGAACTACAAAAGGGGGGTAAGCATCATCCATGA